GCGTAAAGAGACGCGCTCGAGCTTGCTTTTCCTGCACAAGATGTCACCGGCTCAAAATCAAGTGTGACAGAAGATCTCCTTGTAGCAGATGCGCACGTTCCGGGTATGAGACTACATGTCTCTATACGCACAGAGTGAAGATAGCCGAGAAGACGGTTGTACCGTCTTCTGTCTTTGCGCTTGAGGACCCCGAGTTTGTCGTAGCTACCTGGTTTCTGAGAAGACGAAGCTCTAGCCATTTCAGAGCTCTCCTAGATAGGGTGAGCCGTTTTCATGCCTGTTTCGCTCAATTCCCTGACCTCTGATCATCCACAGCTAGAAACACTGCCCGGTCTTGAGGCGCCCCCGTTTACTATGGCTATGCGGGAACACATTGCGGGAAACTGCTCGAGTGACTTCGCTCTAGCCGGCAACTTCCCCTTCGGAAGTCCGCAGTCTCAAGCTTACGCTTCGCTTGATAAACGACAAGATCTTTTGCAAAACTCCACTGCTTCTGCATTGCTGTACGCCGATGCATACTTCAGGGTATATAACCCTTGTCTACCAGTCCTTGACCGGTCCACATTCATGTCAAAAATGGAGAGTTTCCACCATGCCCAGACAACAGAGGATTCCAGCTGGCTCGCCCAATACTTCGTAGTACTCGGCCTTGGCGCCTATGCCACCACCCGCAATGACTCAGCTTCATCGGGATACTTTTACGCCAGCGAAGCTTGCTTAGCACAGACGGCATACATGTATCGTCCAACCACCGCCAACATCAGTACGCTGTGTCTCATGGTGCTTGCAAAGTCGGTGGCCTATGCAACTTGCTGGGCTCTGGACACCAGCTGGAACGTTATGGGCCTCGTCGTTCGCTTGTCCATGATGATGGTGTTACACAGGGAATGGATGGCTGGATTCGATGAACCAGCAATCGCTCACGAGAGAGAAGCTCGGCGGAAGCTATGGGTGGTAGTGGTGTACATGGACATACAACTGTCGTTGATCACCGGTCAGCAATCAATACTCCCACAGGACAACTTCCCAACGGATACGGAACATTGCGCACCAATGATTTTGGAAGACTGCTTCGACTCTATTTTACCACGTGCGCTTTCAATCATACGTCACGTTTTAGCTCGGATAAACTCGCAGCTCGAGCAGATCAATTACGATGAAGTGGCACAGTCTGACCTCGAGATACGCCACCTGATGCGTCAAACGTCAGACTTGCCCGGTAGCAAACACCTACGATTAGCGCTCGATCTCTTCTTCCGTCGCGCGCTATCAGTTCTTCACGGGCAGTATGCGATAGCTCATGATGCTCAATCTCTATACCCGGTCTCCTATTTATCATTTCTCGAATGCAACCTTGCGTTGATGGGGCACCACCAACACTGCTTGTCACTCCCGGAGCAGAGCACGGATCTGGCATTAATCGCACAACCATACATGCTGGACTTCTTCGCAGCTGCACTGTCGACATGTGTACAGCTACTCGCCACGATTCCACCCCCTGATTGCACAAGGGTACTTAGTAGTTTGAGGAGTTGCGTTGAGCTTATCGGAAAACAAGAGAGCAGATCGCTGTGCTTTCGCACTGGGTATCACCTTCTCAGTGCCGTGTTCGACCTGACAGACAGGACATATTCGAACACCCAGTGAGCAACTACCTGGATGGTATCAATTCGAGGGCTTTGTACTCATGGCAATTCAATTGAGATTAAAGTCTTCGAAATGATGTCGTAACATAAATTACTTGATTCATACACTATCTACATGACTACGAATTCGGAAGCAGAGTCCTACGACCGTCTTCGGTAGTGGCCAGTGCTGTTTCCACCAGCGATCTCGGTGTCCAAAACGGCAACACTAAGTTCAGGCAGGTTGAAGCGGAACACACCATCGCTTCCGGCGGTGAGCATCATGTTGTTGGTCTTAACAATGTTGATGCCAGTGAAGGGGTCATTGTACATGTATGGGTCGCCAACGGAGTTGGTAAGGTAAGTGAGGTTGGCCATCGTACCCGGAGCAACGCCCTGGAACTGGACGCTTACAGGCACGTCAGCGTGGTCGGTGGTGTTGTAGACAGCACCCTTCCAGACCATGGCACCGTTTCGGTTCTCATCGTAACCAGCACCCCAGTAGAGGGGTCCGTACGAGGTGTTGGAGTGGGTGGGGAGAGTGTGAGAGATTGGGTGGTGGGCAAAGAGACTCCAGCAGTACCAGGTAACGGCCTTGGTGGTGCGCTTCGGGTCGGCATCGAACTGGATGAGAGTGATGGGCCACTGGAAGCGGTTGTTGTTCTTCAAGACGGGGGCGTAGAAGGTACCGGGAATGCGGTCGGAGTTGCGCTCGTATCCGATCAGAGAGACGGCTTCACCGACGGCACCCTGCCACCACGGGTAGGGGTACAAGTCACCCTCCCAGCGGATACCGCCGTTGACGTGGGTGGCGGCGACCTCACCGACGATGTGGCCGGCGTCGTTGTCGAATCGGTTGAACTCGTAAACGAGCTCATCAGGCTCGCGGTACGGGTGGTAGTCACCAAGCGCGTCAAGAGGCAGAATCTGGCCGTTGTCCTCGTTTGGTCCGTGGATCGGAGGGTCTCCAGCAGGGTCGCTAGATGCGGCTGAAGCAATGACCTGGATGTGAGGGTAGGCCTTGCTGATGGCGTTGTAGAACATGGGGAAACGGTATGCGCGGTAAGACTCCCAGCCACCGGGGAAGCCAGCGAGCCAGTCCTCGTTACCGACCTCGACGTAGTTGAGCTCGAAGGGCTCAGGGTGTCCAAGCTCAGCACGGCGCGCACCCCAAGTAGAGTTGGCGGGACCGCAAACGAACTCAATCTCGTCCAAAGCGTCCTTTACGAAGGGCGCGAGGTCTCCTTGGGGTGTGACACCACCATCCAAGTCAAGACCGGCCCAGACACCGAGAACGATCTCGAGACCCATATCCTCAGACCACTCAAGGTACTCCATGAGACCAAGACCGTGAGTCTGCTGGTATCCCCATACACCCTGGAATCCAGGGCGGTATCTCAGAGGACCAAGAGAGTCTTTCCAGTCCCAGTAAGAATCGTTCCTGAGACCCTCAAGCATGTTACCGCCTGGGAATCGGAGGAGCTTAGGGTTCATGTCGGCGAGAGCCTCAGCAATGTCGACACGGAGACCATTCTTGCGGCCCTTGTAGGTCGGCGGGAAGAGGGAGATGAGGTTGAAGTCCAGTGCGCTGGCTGCGGCACCGTCGAAAGTGATAGAAAAGGTGTTGTTGGAGTTGGGCGCAGCCATCTCGGGGACGAGCTCGAAAGTGTGCTCAGTCCAGTCGTCTGCAACGGACTTGGATGGCACTTCGTCGGATGCAAATACATCGCTGGTCAAGTTTGATTCCAGCGATGCAGTGAACACACCGCTGTACGCGCCCTTAACCCAGAAAGAGCCGGTGTAGGTCTGCGGGCGGACGTCCATACCCCAGTAGCCCTCGTTCTTGAAGCCAATCTTTCCGGTGGCATAGCTTCCATTTCCAGCTGAGACGCGCATGGATGCCGGCAACTGCTCAGACAGCGGCTCGTCTAGCATTTGAATGCTAAGTTGAGCGCCATTGACGCTGAAGTAGTGGTCCGTGGAAACGCTGTAGTTCTGGCTGTACTGGAAAGCACGGTTCTGGATCAACTCAGCGTAGATGCCACCATCGCCGGAGTTGTTGATATCCTGAGAAAATGTCAGTACATGGCATTCTGGTATGGATGATGATCACGATAACTTACCTCGTGAAGGAAGCCATAGCCGTAAGAGTGACCAAACGCGCCGGTTTGATTGCCTCCAGAGTTCTGGACAATAATGTCGGCAGCAAGCGCAGAAGTGGCGCAGGCCGCAGCTGCAATCCCTTTGAGAAACACCATCTTTGCGATCAAAAGACGATGAATTGCTGATCTCCCAGAAAACGTCCACTCTGGCTGACCTTATACCTTCACCCACATCCCGGCTCACTAACCGTTCCCCAACATCGCGGGTCTCCAGCCACGCCAGGCCTTGGCCACGGGAAGAATCAAGAGCAATGTGCATACATGGGCCGGTACAATCGTCATGATATTTCCCGGATCGATGGCGTGTAGGCGAGAGAGCTTGTGTAGCGCCACCCGTCATTGGAGGACTCAGGCGTAGACGAGCGGAAGAATTGGATGAAGTCGAGGGTTAGTTCCTGACGATCCATGCATCCATGCCGGCGGATGCAGCGACCCCTCTCGAGTGACGTTATGCGATGTCCGACATCTTGGCTGATGGAAATGGCGGCGCATGTCCAGTACTTCTATCCACGGTGCGCGCATGGCATTGCGGATGTTCGGTCGCGGCGTTCGAAAGAGCAATTGCATAGTCTTCAACTGCTGTCCAGCTGCTTGTGGAGCGGAATTGGTGTCATAAGGCGTCTCCACTTGCCGAGGCTAGGGAAAGAACCTGGGGCAGGCTGGGGTCTCCGCTCAATCGCTCGGTGCTTTCGCCGTCAAAATGTCGTGTCGGCCTCATGCGCGGCTAAATTGCTACTTTAGCACTAGCGCGTCCCAGCCTCCGAGCGGTACGAGATGAGAGGGTTTGGCGCCCAGGGATCCTGCTCTTGTCTGAACACTAAAGGTGCCCACGACAGTAAAGCGCGGGAGCTTCCAATGTGAAGTGATGGAGTAATCCGGGGTGGGTATGTCAGCGCTTCGATCTTTCGGGTGAGCGTTCTCCGCTGTGGAAGATTCTGCTCTGTGGGGTAGTGCACCGACACTTGCTCGAGCAGCAGCACTACCTGCTTGATTAGTCTGATTAGTGACAAAAGCAAAGGCCAGGAAATGAAGAGATGTGGTAAGCATGCTGAAATGTTCTAAACACATAGTAAATACCTGATCTCAACATCGCGCTCCCTAGAAAGTCAAAATCTCGATGTCGCAAGCCAGTGCTGCATCGTCCCATTACCCGCTCAGAAATACATCCGTTTAGCCTTATTGCACACCTCTGCCTTTCTTCCTCTGTATACTGTCATCGAAAGGGATCAGCCTCTTGCGCGCTATCCCTCTTGACATTGCCCTGGTTCTCCTTCTCAACCCAAGCCGCCGTGCCACTGACGCTCACCACCACACAGCCCATGATTTCGCTTTCCCGAATGTCTAATCCAACAATGGCATTCGCACCCTTGCTTATGGCCTCTTTCACAAGTCTGTCGATGGCTTGATCGCGCGCCTGGTATACGATACTCGTCACGCTCTTGGCCTCTCCCCAACTGCTGTTGAAACTGCTTGCGATGTTCTTAATGAAGGATTTCGGGTCTTTGCGCGTCGCGCTTGTAGTTCCGTGGACGGCACCGAGGACGCGAATGACGCGATGGCCGGGCAGGTCGGACGTCGTTGATGTCAAGACGGCGGGTGTGCGACTTTGAGGTGCTTCAGTATCGATTGCAAGAGGCGTTGATGAGGGCTGCTGAGGCATGGTGCCTTTCGAGTGGGGATGCCAGCTGGGCATGCGGTTTGGAGGTACCATCATGGTCGAGCGACGGTTGGTCAACATGTTATTGATTGATGTGGTAAGATAAGAGAGGCGAATTGAAGTTGAGCTCTTGGTGTACGATGCGACTCAAAACGTAAGTATCAACGAAGAGCTGATGTAATTGATATATGTGTAGTATATGATGTTCGAATTGGGCAGACGATAGGGCGCGACGATCGATCAATATATCCGAAGAGCACCTTGAATGACGTCCATCGGGTTGCGAAACACCTGAGGACCATGCCTCCCCATGGGCTGTCATCCAGGCATAGTTCCTAGACGTCTAAGCCACCATGACAGCTGCTAAGACGGGCTGGAATGCCGTCCAGCAAAATTTCTGCAGGTGACGGAGATTAAACCGCCTTTCGCGACTGAATTTTGGCCATAGAAACGCGGAGCGGGATTCCGCACTTAAGTTCGCGATGAGGTTCGGGCAGGTCGAGTCGAGGTATGAAACATGCGAGGTTGCGGGGCTACACCTCTGGTTTCAGAGGCACCGCTGATACATGGATGATGCGTGAACACCGATCTTGACAATGCCAGAATTTCTTCGTATCTCGGTGCGCAATGCCGTTATATGCGCATTGGTGTGATCCTTATCGCCACATGCGGTGCATGGACAAGGCTTCCGCGAGGCTTTTTCTTTTGAAGCCTTCTTGGTCATTTCCGAGGCTTACCAGAGGGTCCAGCTGTGGTTGCTCATCGAGCGATGTAATCTAATGACATGTTGATCCTTGGCCAAGTCTTTCGTTGTCTCGTTGGTGTTGGGTAGAGTGAAGTTGGTAGTGTTGTTTGGTGTATGCGATGCAATCGCCTAATACCACGTGCAGGTGGGTCACGATGACGTCCCGATGTGGCTGACACAGCAGGCACCATCGGCCGTTTCGCGTCTTCATTTCTCGAGGCTACATCTACAGAAAGCTTTCTACCTCAGCAGATCAATGCTTAAGCTTTGTACACCTGCTTTCCTTCAAACCACGTTTCCAAGACCTTGGCCTTGAGCAACTCTTCCCCCTTCCACTCCATGTCTACCACGCAAAAGTCCGCCATCTTGCCGACCTCCAAACTACCTACACGGTCGTCTGCAAATGAGGAATATGCTGCACCCTGGGTAACAGCTGCCACTGCTTTTGTCAACTCAAGGCGGAAGTTCTCATTGACAGGCGCGTCTCCGGCATCCGGCTGTCTCGCCGACTTGCGCGTGGTAGCGACGTACAAATTTGGCAGCGGCGCGTAGGGTGCGGTAGGTGTGTCTGAGCCGATGGCGAGTGTCGCGCCGTGATCCGAGAAGTCAGAGTACGCAAAGGCTCGCTTCACGCGTTCTGGACCAAGAAGCTTCGGCCACGCACGGAGGATAGCAGGGTCTGAGTGAACTGGTTGAACACTTGCTGTTATGCCGAGCTGACCAAGTCGCTTCGCGTCTTCCGGTGCGGTAAGTTCGAGATGCTCGATACGATGCCTCTGGTCTTGTTTTCCATATTTTTCCAGCACATTGACAGCATTGTGAACAGCCTGATCACCTATTGCGTGCAATGCGCATTGAAGTCCGCCTTCGATCGCCTTCTTGACGACAGGATCGAGCATCTCCGGTGTCCAGATCGGACCCTCAAAATGGCCGTTCGAGGTATAGGGCTCTGCTAGCGCTGCAGTACACGCATCAATCACTCCGTCACAGATGACCTTGATGCCAACGACCCTCAGATCAGGGCTAGTGTTCTTGTTGAACTCCTGATTCAGCTGGATAGCTCGCTCAACTTGTCGCAGGCGATGTTCTTCGCCATCGCCAGGCATAATGCACCAGTGCGCAGCCACCCGCATTGGTAGTCCTTCTGTAGATCGCAGGGAAAGTATAGCTTCCCATGCACTCTCATCCATCGCCATGTCGATGCATCCTGTACAGCCAACGGCGTGATACGCCTTGATTGCAGTCCTCAAAGCCGCCATCTTCTCATCGAGTGGTGTGACCTTTGCAAGCCACGGCCAAACGATAAGTAATACGCAAGCTTCGCTAAGAAGCCCCGACGCGTTGCCATCCGAATCTCTTTCAATCGTTCCACCAGCTGGAGTCTCCATTTCTTGAACCCCCATCTCTTTCAACGCCGCGCTATTGCACCAGCAAGAATGAATATCTTTGGAGTCTATGTAGATCGGTCTGGGATCTAGGTCGTCTAACATGCTCGCTTTGGCCTCCCCATTGGTCATCGAGTGCATCCAGCCTTTGCACATTATGCGCGGTTTATCTGGATTCGCTTTTGCGTACTTTAAGATGCGGGCACGAATCTCCTCTAGATCCTTCGCGTGGTCCAGGTCCACTTTGTGCAATGATTGTCCAAGCATGAGGAAATGCATGTGAGAATCGATGAACCCAGGAAGTACATGTTTTCCGCCAAGATCGCTCACTTTTGCACCAGCATTGCAGAGTTCTTGGACTTCGGAGTCGTCAGAGCTTCCGATGAAGCTAATCTTGCCATCTTGAACGGCTAACGTAGTATGGAATTGTGCTTCGGATTGCGCTGTGGCGCTGTTGAAGAAGCGACCGTTGGTGAAGACAGTGGTGTTTTGAGATCGAGACATGACTGGATGTTTGAGGCGGGAGGATTTGTGTTGCGGAATGAGGGGTACAGTATCAGATGGGCATGCATCTCGAGTCTTAGATCCGATGCATCGCCGTAGCTGCCCCCACTTCATGCTGCCTTATCACCTCGCGCCCTACGCGCCTTACGTTCATCTTGAACCTCCCTCCCGATATCGCTTCGAGGTTCGAGAAGGAATAGGATCGTTGAGCGCAGCCATGGCAACTACCACAGCGCATGTGCCGGACCAGACGACATACGAGGAAGCCCGTAATGGCGCCGCCGCTTATCTGCAGTCGCGACTATCGGCGAGAGACCGTATTGCCGACGAGAACTTTGAGATACCCATTATCGATCTGAACCCTTCATTCTCTGCTTCTCTTGAGGATCGCCGAGCGGTTGCTGCGCAAATTCGTCGAGCCTGCACCACCTCTGGGTTTTTCTACATTAGCAATCATCGCATACCAGGATCAGCCTGTGACGGCATCTTGCATCAGGCTGATCGCTTCATGCATGAACTGCCGCTGAGCAAGAAAGAGACTTTGCATCTGGAGAACAACAAATTTGGCTTGGGTTGGGAGCCGAGCGAGTATACATCCATCGCTGGTGACAAGGAGGAGAAGGAAGTCTTCAACTTCGCATACGAAGAGCGCCTGGACCTTTCTGGTGGCGATGGCAAATACAAGAATCTTGACGGGTCAACAGAGAAGAGTAACATGTGGCCTGATGAACAAGACCTGCCGGGCTTTTATGAGAACGTCCGTAAATACTATGGTGCTGTGAGTCAAATTCGCCAGAGGTGCTTATCACGTAGTAGGCAGACATGCTCACCGTTACTAGGTCCTTGATCTCGCCCGTCACTTGTTTCGCCTCTTTGCGCTCTCGCTCGATCTCCCCGAAGACTACTTCGACTCCATGACGACGCACCCTGGGGGTATTGCACGACTTCTGTACTACCCGCCCCCCAGAACCCTTCTCACTAACAACCTTACGCCAACACAAGAAGCGCAGATCGGCCTCGGTGCGCACTCAGATTACGAGTGCTTCACACTGTTGCTCGCGTCGACTGTACCCGGCCTCGAAATCTTGAAGCCCTCCGGCGAATGGTATATCGCTCCGCACATCCCCGGCACCCTCATCGTAAATGTTGCCGACTTCCTCATGCGCTGGACGAATGGATTATATAAGAGCACGGTGCATCGCGTCGTAAACCGAACGGCGGAGGCGAGGTACAGTGTACCATTTTTCTTTTCGGTGAACTATGACACGGTGATTGAGACGTTGCCGACGTGTCTGAAAGAGGGCGAGGAGAGTCCCTACAAACCAATCCGAGCGGGAGAATACATTCTGGAGAGGTTAAACGCGACGACGGCATATGGCGCAGGCTTCCAGCAGAAAGGGGAGTGATGGTTGTACCGCGAACACGACATTCAGCCACGCAATTGTGAGCAGGAGTGTGGTGTTGTAGGGAGGCAAGGGACGCGACGCGTCGCGGCATGCCAGCCAAATGACATAATCCACGCTACTGTCGCAAGTTCCAGGGGCTCCCAAGGTCGCTCTCTCAACTCCTCCGCGTGAACGTCTACATCAATATATTAGTATTTTCAATAATCTAGCGGCCTTGTCCACCTGATGATGCAGAAAACCCCAGAGTGCTAATCTTACATCAGCAGTATAGTTCAGTTCGAGGCACAGCTCAGGTTGGGAATCTAGTTTCGTTCAAGCTTGTCTGGAAATTGTCCAAACTCGTCGCCCGATGCGAGATGGCAATACTAAGCAGCGGTTGCAACGTTCATCTGAACGCGTCTTCGAAATCTTCCTGAGCATCTTACTGTGCATTTGCAGTCTTGTAGGACAATGCGCGGCGATGCTTAATCAGGGTCTAGTTCGCGAGGCAGCCAACCCCCGAGCTCAATCCCGTGCGGAATGTTACTCGATCTACCATGTTAACACCTAGATGAACACGGCTTACTACTATCAGGTTGGTAGATCCTGTTTTGGTGTCTCTCGCGTTTTCGACGAATGAGATGCGTCACTTTCGTGCTGATGCGACCGAGCCATCTTGGTGCTCAGTGGCCGACGCGCACAACGTCAACGAGACAGATACAAAAACCACCAAAACAATCTCCAGAGATATTCAAAACAGTTACCGACGTAAAGACGAGTATAGCAATTCCCTATGCCAGCTGCGAAGCGTAGAAAGACCGGCGGTGCGGAGATGAAGGCGAAGAACAAGACCACCGAGCGAAAGCCGCTCCCAGTGACCGTTCTTTCCGGATTTCTGGTAAGTAACAGCTCAGAGATGTGAGGATTGAGACTGACAACAGTAGGGCAGTGGAAAGACAACCTTGCTTCGGCACATCCTACAGTCGCCGGACCATGGGTTGCGCATCGCCGTCATTGTCAACGATATGGCATCAGTCAACGTCGACGCAAACCTCGTTAGTC